TCAACTTCAAACAAACAATACTCATTAATTTACGTAATCTACTATTTATAATCATACTCTTACTTCTACATACTACACAAAACTTCTAGATTGTAATGTCTTCATCGTTAGTAATGAAATTTCTAGATAACGTGTCATGCGCCCTCTACGAAACAAACATCTTAATTTAAACATTGAAAATATGGCTTACAACATTATGTCAGCTCGCCTGAATTATTTTGTAGATTTCAATATTAACTTCTGATCAAAGTAAGCTACCATACAAATAACAGAACTAAGTAGACGAATGATTTAATAATGTATCCGCCTTTGGATGCACGAATGAATAATCAAAATTAAATACAGAGGATCAATTTAATTCTGTGATGTGAATCAGATTCACAACGTAACATCGACAGTTCCCAATCTTCGTAGACCTAAGCTAGTTAATCCAAGTATAATAAATACTCGGATATAAAGATATCAAACAGTCACTTCGATACTTTCAACAAACTCACAACTGATGTCATTTTAATCAGAGAGAAAAAAAAATACCTTGGTTTTAGTATAAAAAAAACGACTTTTAACACCTAATGAAATTTCCTATTTGCTTTTTTGTTCAATGATTTTACTTCTCTTCCGACTAGCGATGCTATTTGTTCCAACTTTACTTTATTACTGGTGGTATTTTTACCGGCTACCAATGCCACTTTTTCCCACTTATGTATCATTTTTTACCTTTGTCGTTACCGACTAAGGACGCCATTTTTTCCCCACTTTGCTTTATTATTGGTGCTATATTTTTACCGGTGCCCATGATGAAGAATTTATTAAATATATCTTTGTCGAAAATATGTGTGAGAAATTAATACGTTGATTAGGGTTTCGTTTTCACAAGCTAACCGTACATAGCTCTGGCAGCGGTAAATTCCCACTGGTGTGTAAATCCCCTTGAATTGTGTAAGCGGCCGGATGGTAAACATCGGGAAATCGACAGTGATTATTTATGTTTTTAACTGTTGGTATGAGTGGGTTTTCCCCATTTAGATGAATATCACGTGACCATTTCTATCAAAACAAAAAAGATAAGATTATGTTTACAGATGTAATTTGGCAGCTTCAGTCATTTATTTGTCACAAGTGATACTAACTTGTAACTCATAATACTGTGTATTCCAGCCATTATTTCCTGTATAGGACTACTCAGCTAAAGATCAGAACTTGGATAAGGTAGGAGCTTGTCTGTAGCTTAGATTTACTGACAAACATGTATTTCAAAACAGAATACCCATAAACTACTATAGTATTAATACCCCGACCGACTCTCTTCTATCATATTACGCTTAAGTTGTAACGAACGTGTTCGAGACGTTATAAAAAAACAAAAGTTGAGGATATTTGAATAGTTGTAAAATTAACAACGTCTTTCTAAAAATTACAGCCATTTGTGAACTGATGTTTAAGTGTAAGAAATTTGATGGAATTTCATGTTTACTTATTGCGAGTGTTTATATATAATTTGTCCTTCGATGGGTCAGTCATAAGTTAACTGGCTTATAACACTAAAATCCGGAGTTCGATTCCACGCGGTGGACAGAGCATAGATAGTCTATTATGTAGTTTTGCGCTAAAATCAGCTACACATAATTTATGCAAGTTGATGACTCACTACTCTAGTTTTTCCGAAGGCTTATCTAAATAAATATAATAATACTGTCTGTTGTATGTCCATGAACTACTTCTCAGGGTCAAATTTGCGGTTTCACATTTTTTATGAGCGTTTTTTACAATTACATATAAGAAAAGCGATTTTTCATGTCCTAAAATAACCTTTCATTAATCATGAATTTATATAACTTCCGTCCAGGGGACGGGTACTCGAGCTAGTCTACATAAATATAATAGTACTTTTTGTTGTATGTCCATGTAACTACTTCGCAGGGTGTGGATGGATCTTAACTTAAATTGGTACGGAAGTTTATTAGGTCCATGCGGGGGTACATACAAATTTTCAGTTTTGCATTTTGCGGTTTTTATGGGCATTTTTTTACCACTACTTTGCCTCCTGTAGATGGATCATCACCAAATTTGGTATAGAGGTCATTGAGTCCACGAGGAGATAAATACAAATTTTCATTTTTGCATTTTGCGGTATTTACGGGAGTTTTGCGTTTTTTACCACTACTTGGCCCACTGTTGATGGATCTTCACCAAATTTGGCATGAAGATTTGCTGGGTCCAATTGAAGATACATGCTAACTTGCGGTTTCACATTTTGTGTTTTGCAGTTTTATGGTCGTTTTTGCGTTCGTTTACAATTACATATAAGGGAAACGACTTTTTATGTCCTAAGATAACTTTTATTAAACATAAATTTACATAACTTCCGTCCAGAGGATGGGTACTTCAGCTTGTAATTTATAAATAATTTATTGTAGCACCCACTTTAGGTCTAAAGTGCAGTATTTTTGTGGATGAGAAGTAAATAAGTTTTTATTAAACCCACAGCAGTTTGTATAAGATTTTCAGTTTTTTTTTGTTTTTTTTAATTATTGTTGCGTCAGCGAGTCACATGACTAGTGTGACGCCACGTTTCTAGAACTATCCCGTACCTTGGCGAATGCTCTAGTATTTACTAGATATAGGGTAGTCTGGTATATAAAAGAGGGTGACAACGTGACGGGAAAATAATGTAATATGTGTGTAGGTTGTGAGTAATTGATCTGCAGTGAGAAAGTATTGTTGAAGTTAACGCGTTTGTTTTAGCGCGAATGTTGAAATCAAGTGTATCGTGAAGTTATATTCAGAAAGAATAAACCAGTTTTATTAAGTAAGGACTTGTGTCGCTAAAGTTTCGTCGGAACGAAGTTACGGAAAGTTAATTGACAAACGGAGACGTAACATTATTTATTTTTAAAGTGTCTAACAGGAACAACATCGTGGTTAAAGTCCCTAGTTCCCTAAAGCGATGAAACAGACAAGGAACCAGCGACTGGGGAAACGAGCAAGAGCAGGAATTCGTACTGGTCCAAAATAACAACGAAATTTCCAGTTTTGCGAATCCTAATTTTCATTCGTTAAAATTAAAAAAATAAACAAACATGTATTGTATCACTAGTTATATTCAATAACGATTTCCTTCGTGTGTAAGTGGTATACACTTCGCAAAAAAAAAAAAAAAAGTTTCTACGCCACTGGGGACTCCCAGTCAAAGAGATAATAAAAGGCCCGCGGTGTGAAAAAATGAAATTCCGCTACTTAACCCTAAAAACCCGTTAAAATCTACTACCAACTCGCTAACTTTAAGAATTACTGATAATAGTGTTTAAAAAGCCCCATTAGTTGATTAATAATAATAATTACTTTCGTAATGGCAACAAGTTAAATCATAAACCTAATAATATCTCACGGGGTTCAGCCAGCTTTGAAAATTTAGTCTTAAAATGAAATCCATATATTAAGCTAACAATGCAAACATTATAAACAATAATAGCATAATAATGAAAAGTAATAAAGTTAGATATATTAAACATTTTTACCAGTACTGTTTATGAAAGTAATATTAAAGAAAGAACAGATTCTACTTCATTTACAGATCATAAACACTAGTTGTTAGCTTTAAGTATTGTTGTAGATGGTAGTATCAAAACTTTTTCGTATTATTCAATGTTGTCGAAAATTCAGAAGCTGGCGCGAAAATTGCAGAATTTCTACTACGTATGCGCCAGAACTTAGCGTTGAAATAATATTCAATCATATAAAATTCTCTCGAAAATTCGTAAAGTTGCATTTATATCGATGTGAGAGAAAAAAAAAGTTAAAATACAATGGCGGGCCAAAGCAATTTGCAAAAAAAGTACAAAATTATTTATGGATTCGATAAGATTCCTCTAATCATTTGACATAATCAGCCAGATTTTTTCGCCAGCTGATACATACACAGTTGCTTCCCTCAGTGGCACAGCGGCATGTCTACGAACTTACTACGCTAGAAACCAGGTTTTGATACACGTGATGGGCAGAGCACAGATAGGCCATTGTGTAGCTTTATGCCCAACTGCAAACAAAGATACACAATTAATTCGCCAGATGACACAACAGTCCGCTAAATCTGTCGGAAAATCCAGATAAGTTGACAATACTGGCAAGCTTTCTACTAAATGGACGGAGGGGAAGAGTAGAAATAGAAGAGGCAAGAACTTCATAATAAAGAAAGCAACAATACTTAATGTTTTTAATTTATGTGTAATTAGATTAGTCTTAAATACATATATTATGCTAACAATGCAAAACGTTATCTGCAATAAAAGCATATTAATAAATAAATTTTTCTGTAGAAGTTAAATAAGTCTTTACTGCATCTTCCTGACAATACAATATAATCCATATAGAAAATTATGTGTAAAAACAAAATCAAATTTAACAATAAATAAATGTCCCACAAGTTAGGTACAGCTTCTTCATTGGCTAACAAACACTCTAAATAATTCACTGGTCTTACTAGATCACTAACAACACTCATCAATTCTTTGACTAACACTAACTCAGTAATAACAACAATCCCTCTGTTTGAGGTTTCATATTCTCTGACTCCTTTGTTCTTAAAATAGGGGACGCTTCAGTAGGGTGTGTGAGTGTGTTTGAGAAGGGTCACGAAAAACAAATAAATTACTGTATATTAGTATGTCAGTTTGAACCTGTTGTGCACTAAAATTTCTATAATTTTAAGGTAGTGGAATATTACTTTTTTTTTTGCCGATCTCTATATGGCAAAGGGGAGCTACGTTCCACAGAAAAGTGGAAGGGAGCGCTATCTAGCTTGATGCCACGCAATCATCACGTGCTATTCAAATTTCCTTCCTATATAAATTTCTAGAAACATATATATATGTAAAGAATAAAAGACTAGAGCAGCACGTTTTACGTATATTATATTTTTATGTAAATATAATACAGGTCAGAAATATGCAGTAAAATATATTTAATTAACCTATACTGAGTGTTCCCTTTTTCATATTTAGGCTACCAATATGCTCATCAATTTGAGTGACAATTTGTTCTATCACTAGGCCTTCTTCAACTGTAAATATACATGTGAGTATAGTGTGCATAATTGTGAAAATAAAGGCACTGAATCAAGTTTTGAATATTTTGCACATATATATTCATATCTAAATAATAATGCATTGTCAAGAATATGTAATAACCAGGTATATAACTCATAATGAAATATCTATTTATGATTAGTCTCTTCCGAGAATTTATTGACTGTTCGTCGCTAACGCGAAGCTTTAACCAATTACGCATGGGATGTTTATTTATAGTTATGTGATACTAGCCGAATGCCCGTCATATGAAAGTAAATGGCGACGTAATTTTATTCTAAAAATTAAATCTTAATAAATCGTTTATAAACGCGTTTTTTAAAAATTAATCATATTATAGTAACAATATACGTTTAACGAATGTTTACCCTTTTTCTATTATTTCACGAAAACAATATTTTTGTGTCTATGTGGTCATTTCCTGTACGTTGTCGTTGATTAGAAACTTGACTTGTATATAATTTTATGTTAAGTTTAAATCTGTTTCTTGATAAAGCCTTATAGACTCAACCATGCGTAAAACTGGTTCTCGAAGAAATATACCTAAATGGTCAAATGTCTAACCTTGCGATTTATCAATTGTTATGGCATAGGCAAATAATTTGATGGTGAAAGGAAAATGTACAAAGTTATAATTTTTCGTCAAAATTTTTAGAAATCTTGTACTGAATGTGAAAAACATCATTAATAGTGTATTATGGCGCTATCTATTAGATTAAAAAGACATAAGTTGTTTTTGACACACACACAGTCACTGATGTTTATTATGTAATATAATATTGTTACGACAGCGGAAGTCACGTGACGCTAGTAACACGTCATGAACTTCTAGAAGGATCCTGTCCCTTCCTACATGCTCGAGCGTTTACTAGATTTCAGTATTCTTTTATATACGTGAGACGTTCGTTGTGAATTATAGCGTTTGTTATAGCGTGACTATGGAAATTAAGTGTATTGCAAAGTTGTATTCAGAAAGAATAAACCAGTTTTATTTAAGAAAGGACTTGTATCGGTAAAGTTTCTTCGGAAAGAATTTTTACAGTAAATTAACTAACCAACGGAGGCGTAACAATATTATCCCTGATTTAAGCTATTATTATCCGAATATTCAATATCTTGTTTTATATGGCCCGGCATGGCCAGGTGGATAAGGCGCTCGATTCACAATCTGAGGGTCGCGGGTTCGAAACCGCATCCCACCAAACATGCTCGCCCTTTCAAGGCAGTAGGAGTCCAAGCCCTCACTAACATAATCTTATCACCCAAATTTCGTCGCATAACGTCCCAGCAAAAATTACTAAAGTATACCCGATTTATCTATTTCATGAAGATGTCTTATTCAAGCGGCTCAGTGGTAAGTGGAAGATTTCACAAATCCACAAAGCTGATGCGACTTATACAGTT